GGAGGTGGGTGGAGGAGTGGAGGCCAGCTGTCATCGGTGGGCGGGGCATGACCAAAGTGGGCGGAGTTTGCGACGAAAATTCATAACTCGGTTCCAAGAAGTCCTGGAGACCGGGAAAAAAGTGAATTGAGTCCGTCAACGGAAGGGAGGTCAACTGCCATTGGTGGGTGGGATATTCATCGAACTTATATCTGTATTCAGGTCGTGCACCTGGCTACTCTTCCGGCGGCGGACTACTTCAATAGAAGCTGATTGGTCTGTATTTCAATACTCCATCCTCCGCGGATCCAGCTCAATAGACGACGACGCCACCTGCCACCCAAAAGGAGGAAGAAGACTGGTGCTCAATTCCTCTTATCAACTACCGGATTAATAAAGAATTGGGATTCTTCTAGTATTCCCTCAATACGCGTGGCCAGTGACGAATTCACTGTTTGGCGAGCATTTGCTACACATGCTAATCATTGATGTATGGGCAGTCACCGAACATGGAGAAGTGGTGGACCGTGGTCAATCCGCGCGCTCTCGCTCAGAGGGAATCGAGGCAACATGAAGTTTTATTCATTAAATAGAAGGAATTTCCAAATTTTTGCGTAAACCAATACATCATTTAATCACAAAGATTTCTACTTTCAGAAACCTACCAAGTTTTTTTCGATCTCTCAATTTTCCTTATTTTATAATCTGAAAAACTAAACCTTGTAGCAATTACGTTGCAATCCAAACCCCTCCATTCAGAAGGTTATATTTTTCTTCAGAAGCGGTCTGGAACCGGACACCAAAATTTTAAAATTCAAATAGTTTTCTTCCTAAAAGTATTTGAAATGTTGCGAATGTTCAATATTTCAAAAAATCGTCCCGTTGTTCCGTTTTTTGTGCACACGCGAGTTTTCGACATTCAAACATTCATAACTTTCTTCATAATCAACTTTTTGCAGATGTCTAAGGCTAATTAGAAACTAGAAGATTAGCGCTTTCAAACAAGCACCTGACTTTTTCCAGCGATCACTCTCTCAAAAAATAGTCCCGTTGTTCCGTTTTTGGGGGGTTTGTGGTCCGATTTTTGAGAAGGCGCGAGTTTTCGACATTCAAACGTTCATAACTTTCTTCATAATCAACTTTTTGCAGATGTCTAAGGCTAATTAGAAACTAGAAGATTAGAGCTTTCGAATAAGTGCTAAAACTTTTTGAAATAATCACTCGCTCAAAAAATAGTCCCGTTGTTCCGTTTTTTCCACCTTGATTTTTTTCAAGCCATTTTCCTGGACCGCGACTATGCAGTCTTCAAAGGCCCATAACTTCCTTAACTTCATAACAAGTGTAAAACTTTCCTGAAATTCTTTCTTCTGCCTCAATTTTCCTAGGGGTCTCTAGAACTCAATTCAGCAAATTCGCTACACTTTGTTCCGCTTAGATTTGATTTGAAAGCATCGAAATTCTCTTCAGGAAGTTTGTCTGCTCACGGCCGCTGACAGAGAAGGCGTTTTTATGGGAAAACGGTAACCCTGCTACGCTAACTCTGGTATATACGCCGTGCACCTGTCTGTGGACAGAAGTCGCACTCGCATTTGAAAGTCCTCCATTTTCCTGAAGAAGGTGTTAGTATCGTGATTGAGTTGCATTGTACTGTTATATGGTACTCTTGTTTCACTTCCCCATGAACTGCTCTACACTTTGTTCTCCTTGGGATTTCAGGAATGTTCGATCATCGAAGACAGACCATGTTTTTGCACTACGCTGTAACAAAGTTTTTGGCTATTGTAATCTTGAGCTCTGCATGCTCAAATGCTCCCATGGAGCTCTTGTCTGTGTGACTCTCCGACAGCTGCACGGTGCAGAGCTCCTGGAGAACATTAGAGCGTGAAAGTGCACTGCAGGACACTGCACTTTTCAAGCCGTCTTGCAGCCCCTCTCTCTAGATACGACCCCCTCGTTGTTCTTTGCGCAACGGGCGGTTGACCCTGCGCCAGACAGAGAAAACGAGCGCGGTCGTCAACGGGTTAAACGACTAGAGACCTGGGGCGTGTGGTTAGCGAGTCGGTGGGCGTGCCGCGTCTATAGCGGCGCGAGGCCATGCTAGATCGCCGGAGGCATATCCTTCGCTGTGAATTGCGTGTCGGTCCGCACCCTTGGGGTTCAGCCTGTCTTCCCATTAGGAAAGCTTCCACTTCTCAGACGTTCGACCTTATCGTGAAATTCTCCTTCAACGCTAGATTTTCTAGATTTTAGCACAATGTTTTGACTGACTCACATGTCCACGAGCACAACCGATGCCCATCTGACAACGTTGCGTGGCCTGGAGACCTGATGGACATCGGGGAAGTTGACAGCATCCTCCTCCCACACACTCGGTTCCAAGAGGGCAACCACGACCTCCACACAATGAAAGTGCTAGACCTCCTGCAAATTGTAAGTTGTGAAGTCACTACAATTCGAAAAAAATGCATATAAACCAGTTTGTTTTATTGGGTTGTCTCATAATTCCTGTCGCATTTCTATTCAATTTCAAATTTCTTCCGTCTAAGACCGTTTCATTGCGAAATACGTTAGTATGTTGAAGTATGCTTCAAGAGCCTTAACAGCATGGTTTCGGAAGCGCAAGCCCGTAACGGGTTAATCAACTAGGAATAAAAATAGGTCAGTGACTATAATGAATGATTATGCTTTACGATCCTCAAATGAACTCTTGCAAGGAGGACAACAGAGAAGATCAGCGCTGTGTTTGACCCAGTCTCTGCTACTGATAGGGTACTGAGCTAGTGGTCCAATCGCAACGGCAAAGACGAAACGAGCTATGAACTTCAACCTCATACTGGGCCTGCGGTCATTTTTGATGAGCGCCCCTTGCACCCTAAATTGGGAGTGCCTCCGACGTTGCTACCAGGGTA